TATATATATAAACGCAATTTTCAGGTTGAGTACATTCAAGTGTGTATATTGTGAGATAAGATCACTGTTAGTGAATTTGACCTTTTAGATCTTGCTTTCCTTCGCTTCTTGAAGATGATTCAGACAAGTCAATATATATATATATATATATATATATATATATATATATATATATATATATATAAACACACACACACACAAGTGAATGACACTGAAGCCAAAAATCGAATGGTTACAGCCTGTTCTGTGCTTGAATGCAATCTTCAGGCGATTGGAATTGCTGCTGTGCTTTGATAAAATAACTTTCGCACAAAGAATCTTGGCAAAACATTAATTTCTTTTCTCCTATGCTATGGGTTAAATAGTAGGCCATAGTTGTCCCCCGTTTTGACAGTTTTCCTAAACCTAGACTGTTACCTCAGAATCACTGAAAAACTCTTTGAGTTATTCAGTTAATAAGAGAGCTGTTTAAAATTATTTTGCGTCAGATCCACTGTCTTCCCAACTGAGCAATGGTTAGAGAAAAATATCATTCAGTCCTTCAGCAATGTTATTAACATTCATACTCTGGCTTTCATCTTCAAAGTTCTTTCAAGAACCATCAAGAGAACAATGAATGCGTTTTAAAAAGAAGGAGTAGTAAAGAGGAAAAGTGGATGAGGTGACCGCAACAGGAAGAGGAATCATCACCAACTTACAGCTGAAGTGATCAATTAGAAAAGATCCAACTCAAAGATGTTTGGCATGTGAGTGAGGATCTTTAGCTATGACAGTCCAAAAAGAAATGAAAAAAGACTTTAAAATGAAATCATATATGAAACCTGCGAGACACCTTTTTACTCTACGACAGAAAGTTAGAAGGTTAGAGAGGGCGAAGATCATCTTGAAGAATTCAAGAAGTTAGAAGATAATTCTGAAATAGTATATATATATATATATATATATATATATTTGAGAACTTTATTTTAATCCTGCATGAGCTTTAAATCTTTACCGATTATTAATTATTGATGAACATGTCATTTTCGGTTATGATTGATTTCATCACGATTCTTCTGTTAAGCTTGAAGATTAATTATACATTCTTATTGCTCAATAAAGAGCCCAATAGTGTTTCAAAAACCTCGAAAAATTCCAGTCAGATATCTTTAATCATTTCTAAGATACAACGGCCCAGACCTTAAACTAATAATCGTACATTTGTGCGTTTATCGATATATATATATATATATATATATATATATATATATATATATATATATATATATATATATTGTGTATTTGAACAGCAATCCCTCTTTCCTTGAAGATTCATTTAAAGTCAACCGACATGGTAATATGATTAAACTTTGAACAATGTTTCTTGCCTTCGTATAATTGGTTTCTTTTGACGAATGTTGAACATGTGAAAGTGTTTTCGGCTATTCTGTTCATCAAGAATGCTTTTTATTTTATCTTTAAATGAATGCGTCGATTTATGTATCTGTAATAACTTTTTATTTTTCAAACACAGTTAATAGATTGTGACCGCCTCATAGTTGATGTTATTGTGGGTTGGCTTTTTCTTTTTATTATTGTTCGTTCTTAAATTATTTTTAGCCATTTTTACATGTGGTATGAGGCTATTATATTTGTGTTTTCTATGAATAGGTTGCGGATGGAATTTTTTAGGTTTTCTTGTGTGCTTAAATGAATCCTAATTGAGCTATGGTCAGAGAGGTGTAATGTGAGCCTTCCTGCTAGGCATATAGTGATATGCCCAATATAATTATTCACGAATTTGGTTTGATCTTTCGGAACGCAGTTCCTTAAAGTATATGTGAATTCATAAATATTATTGGTCTGCGATTTGAATATATATATATATATATATATATATATATATATATATATATATATATATATATATAAAGAAATATAGTCTTCTTTTGTGCTATATTTATGGGATAAAGTGCTCAATATCAGAGATAGAGCGTGTGTAAATAAAAAAATTTTTGGGAAGTGCTATCTGATGATCCGGCGTCCATTAAAAGGGCTCTGGTGAAAAAAATTATTATAATGGTACCTTAAAGTGGTCTGTTTTTTTTTTAATATATATATATATATATATATATATATATATATAAATATATATATATATATATATATATATATATATGTATGTGTGTGTGTGTGTGTGTGTGTGTGTGTGTGTGTGTGTGTGTGTGGAACCAATGTGTATGTGTGTGGACACTGAAGCCCAAATCGAGTGGCGACAGTCCTTTATGCTTGAATGCAATAAAATCACAGCGTGGTGCTACCCACAATGTCCAACCATTTATTTTCATACAAATATATATATATATATATATATATATATATATATATATATATATATATATATATATATACATATGCGCATGTTTCAAAAAAACGACAGACTATTACTATGGTTAACGACAGACTATTACTATGGTTAATCTTTTATTTAATTTTTTTGTGTTCGCACAAGGGCTTTCTTTTTGACACACAGAGTGTGTAGAAACTGTCCAAATGTTCTATAGTTCCGAGCGTTTTCAGCTATACTTACACAAAAAAAATTAAATAAAAGCTTAACTGTAGTACCTTTGTCTGTCGTTTTAATGAAACATGCAAAATGAAGGATTGCTGCCTAAATATAACAATAATATATATATATATATATATATATATATATATATATATATATATATATAATCGAAAATTGAAATATATGCAAATCATCCTACAATACGACAAACACATTGCAATTCAAACTGAATGCATAAAAAGAAGATAAACCTTCTGAAAACGAACAGAAATATGAACCAATGGAGTAAAGCAAGCCTAAATTGAATTTCGAAGTATAAAAAAAAAAACAATGTAATTCAGGAAAGTGAAGAATTCGGCATTTTCGTTATCTCAAGCAAAACCGATTACAACGGAATTCTAGCATAGTATATATCAAAATTAGATTTCTTATGCGACTTCCTGATAAAAAATTCAGTTTAATTGCTCTTGTTATTTGAGCATGATCGTAGCACGGAATTACAAAGCGGAACATCTAATTTTGTTACTGATATGGAAATATAAGAGAATAAACTCGCGACCCATTGAGAGATTATATTGCAAGCAAATAGAAAAAAGAATATGTGCCCATTGAGAATCATTAATCGATTTAACAAAGAAGTAACTGCCGCCATACTCCTTAAATGTAAAGTTAGGAAAATGTAAAGTTAAAAAAGAAACGTAAAATGGACACACCCAGAAATTCCAATCTTGGGTCGATAGAGCCAGTTTCCGATGAAGCCAAGCATCGAAAATCGAAAATTGTGGGTTTTAATAATTTTTTTAAACTTCAAAAGATAGAACACAATTCAAAATGTCAATATACAGCTTTTTATTCTCACTTTACGCGTAGAACGTTAACATTCCAACCATGTGAGCTGGGTTCGAGTCCTAACAAAGTTGATTTCTCAAGGAGGTGGTGTCTTTAAATTATCGACTTGGGGAGACGATTCCAGTATATGTGGTACCCTTGGGAAGTGTATGAACACCATTCCAAGAGCTGGGCCAAACCTTGGGAATAATGTTGGTTAGACAAAACTGTTTGGGAGCTGTTGATGGTTGTGTTAGTCAGAAGTCATCGTGACCGATTGTTTGAGATTCCTGGCCTTGTTTAAACTTGATCACATCCGATTATATGCTCTATTTTCTCTCTCTCCCCTCCCCATCTCGCTCTCTCTCACTCACTCACTCTCTCAGAAACTGTAACTAAGGTCCTCTCAGTCTAATTGCAGTATAAACCACAGTGGTCTTCAATAAACACAAACGTCTGTCTAAATCAGTGCACATTCTAGACCACAAAATTCTCCAAAGCCGGCCAAGCATAGACATGAATACAATATGGGAACCAGTAACACGGGGAGTTAGAGAAAACAACAATAAGAGAAATTGTAATATGAGCACTGGTAAAAAAATTGATGACTGATACATTAGATTTATATGTCCCCAAAATTTGATGTCCCCCAAGGACATATGACCGAGTAATCCACAAGAGTTGTGAGTTCAATACCTGATCACAGCAGAAGGAACAAAAATTTCGTGAGTTGAGTTCCCAAACTGAAATTCAGATATCCCAAAAAACGATGGGACGTGGAACTAGAACAAACTACCCACGTGGATACTATTTACATTATTCGAACTATTATCCTCATCTTTGTTGCCATATTTATCACAACGTTTCGACTGTTGTACGCTCCGGCCTTCTTCAGGTGGCTGGAATGTCGAACTGAACCCTTTCTTTCACTCACTGAGGTAGACTTTCTAGTTCCACATGCCATGTCTAATGGATGTCAGTTATTAGTTATCTCCTGTTAATTCCCCTCTCCAAGTCCTCCACCACCTTAAGCAGGTATTGAACTCACACTCTTTGGGTCCTGGGTCTAACTAATACCTTTATCTACTGTGCCATGTGTCTTTGGGGACATCTGTGTATGCACCCCCACCTGGCATGGTGTAGAGTCCTGTTGCCAGACATAGGATCTTCCAGCAACCACCCTCTTGACCCAGGGCAACAATAACGCCTCAAGACACTTGATGCAGGTCTCTGTATTGAGTCTGAAGCCCTGTTGGAAGATGAATTGAAGCATAACTTCGCAAATCACTGGTGATCACTCCAAACACCTTCGTAATCACCGTTAGACTCATCAAATTCTTTCCGAATCCTTTGCACCGTTCTCAGATTGACACTGAAACACTCTGAAATGTTCGTTTTGGAGCTTTCGGTGCGAATGCCAAGCATTATATAAGTCAAAGATTTCTAGCGAAGTGAATTGCATCATGGTGGTCTTTTTCTCACGGATGGTGCCCAACTGACCCTACCATACTGTGAAGTTGACAAAATCAAAAACAAACCAAACTCATGCGCGAAATTAAAATTATAAAATAGCGACAAAATTACCTATCGCATCCTGTATATGGGCAGAGACAAAGATGGAGACATAGTTATGAATAGAATAAGATAGATAGATAGATAGATAGATAGATAGATAGATAGATAGATAGATTTGTCCTTATGAAGAAGTTTATAAAAGCAACAGTATTCGATAGTTGTGGATTCCGGTGCCGAAACTTGACACATTGATGTAAACCTAAAGGCAGACATCTTCACTGACCCGAGTTCAGGGAATTGATGTCTGATAGCAAGTCCGAAGATAATCTACTTCATTCGCAGTGCTGACAGCAATGTTACTTCAAAAGACAACAAATTAACATTATATCAAAGAATAGGGTGCCTGTGCCTCTTAAAATAGACTTCTTGCATTCAGGTCTTGAATTTTTTTTATTATTATTTCAAGCACCTATTGTAAGTGTTGAGGTCAGGAAAATTTCTCCCAGGACATAACTGAGATGGAATCGAGGTATCAAAGTCAGTTCAACGGAAATATGATGGCTGACTGCTATTGATTTCTACAATTGGAAACCAACTCAAAATACAAACTAAAAGTTAGATTGATTCATTGATGGATCTATAATGTACTGGCAATTGGCAATTGTTCTCCTGGGCTTTCCTCTTTAGCGCCTCGACTATGATATTTGAACGTGTTACTTGATTGGCAATTAGGTCTCGCCATTTTACTGTTGAAATACCTAAATGAATCTGTAGGTTCTATTCTAATAGTTTCTTTTCTCGCCCTTGGAACTATCTTCCTGATTCTTGCTTCCCTGCCGGCAATAATGTTCCAGAATTTACGGGTAACGCCAATCGCCATCTACCCGTGTTCCTGAAAACTCTTCTTTTATTGTACTTTCTAATAACTAAAATCTTCTCATTCTCTTTCACTCCGTTGCTTTTTAGTGGCATTATCGCCTTGCTTGGTGTGGGAAAACAACAAAAATAAGGATGTGCTGTTGGCGTGACGGATATCAACAAAGAAGCTTAGAGCCGAGTTCGAATTCCAGCCTCGTGCCTTGCGTTCACTTTCGCGCAAATACCCGACGGAAATGCATGAATTCGACTCTTCTCCCCCACTCGCAGCACTGGTTTAAATAACAAAACAGAATTGTCTCTTTAGCATTGGTTGGCAACCAGTCTAAGAAAAGGAAAACTCATAATTCTAAACCATGGAATACGTAACGGGAAACCACTCCACTGTCTCTCCCAAAAGGTGACGTCAGTATATAAACTATAAAGAAAAGGAAACTGTGTAGAACCATGAACGAAACAGGAAACTGGGAAACAGCCTACTCGATTTGTACTGCATGGTTGGGTCGCGGACAAAAAGATGAAGATCGCCATTTGCTGACTAGTAAAAAGTTGTTATGGTGATTTATATGTCGAATTCCCAAACAAACTTGGAATGGATCTATGCCAATTGCTGTCCTCTCAACCCAAAGAAAAGAAATTAGGAAGTGCTGCTATCTTCTCCCAAGACTTAATCCTGTTGTTACCTTTCTACACAGTCAGCTATGTATACAGCCCGCTAAAGGAGTAGTGGCAGTTAACCATACTAAAGCGTGAAACTGATAGTCACTATGCGGTATCGATTCCCGCGTCCATTTAGTCGGAAAAAAATTCTCTTTATGTAGATAAATACATATATAGAGAGAGTGGGGAAAGAGAGAGGGAAAATGTATGGTATTAGGACTTCACTGGTTTATTTACGTTGATACCGCTACAGACGCTTTTAAATTTGGAAAATATTTTTGGAAATTATTTTTTTAGATAATGTGTTTTGGGTATCTTTTTTAATAATGAGTTTTGGGTTTGGATTTTTTTAATAATGTGATTTGGGTTTTGGCTTTTAATACATTGTTTTTGTCTATAATCTAACCAATTTCATTTAGATTCTTTTTCTTCTTATTTCGATCATGTTTTTTTAATTAACCATCTCACATTAACATAATAGAAGATCTGCCAAGAATGGCGAAACGTTGTAGAAACTTGGACGTAGATTTCCTGTCGATGAAGTCGCGATTAAATCACCTTCTAAACATTTTCGTCTCAGTGAATTACTTTCTCTTTTAAACAGAGTAGCAATTTTTTTATGTCAAAATTCTAGTCAGCCTCGTTCCAGTGAACAACCAATGCGTTTTATGTGCTGTTTTTTTTTTGTTTAAATGTTTCCTCTGTATTTATATAATCTCTTATTTAAACGTTTCTTCGTTTCTCCAATGTATTTCTTTTCGGAAATCTTTGCAGATGATGGAGTAAATTCCTCCTTCAAGTTTTGGCTCGTCGTTTTGTTTTGTATTAAGTCTTTGATTGTGTTATATATAGTTGTGATAAATTTTATGTGGAGTTTAGATAAATTCTTTTCGATTGTAGTTGTGATAGAGTTAATGGGTAGAATAATATATTGATTTGATTCGTTGGATTCATCAGGCATCAAAATGCTGAATACCCATACGATAAGAATATTTCTAATTTTCCACCCAACTTAATTCTGGGAATAGATATTTTGACTTATACTAAGTTAAAACTTAACATTTTTTTTGTTTGTTTATTTTTTTTATAGATATCGACAAGTTCATAATCCTTCCCCATATTTTGAACAGGACAAAAGGCTTATCCCTTTGTTTCTTGTTTAGGATGGGGTTTCCAGTTTTCTCCTTCTGAGCCTTTAATAAGTGCGGCTGTTATGATTTTTTTGGTAATATGACTGGATGGTGTCTACAAACCTTCATAGTGATGGTACCGGGTTGGCAGTTTTCTGTTGACTGCATCCCGACTCGTAGTTAGGAGCCTGAACTCTTGGATATCGTCGAAAGAAACTGCTCTGATCAGCAGTTGCATAATTGTCATGGGTCCTTACCTATAACTACAGAATTAACTCTTCCTAACACTATGTATCTACGCCTCTCAAGAGAGAGGGACGAATCGAGTCGAGCCGATAGTAGTTCACTCCAAACCAGACTGACAGTCATACTAACACCTTCCACATCTTGTCTTATTATTTCGTGTAACATACCTTCGTTATCGTGTTGTTCTTCCTTGGTCCTAACCTAACAATAATAATCAGGGTTCTTGCAGTGCCATGTCGCGCTTGGAAAGGTGTTCCTGTAAGCACTTCCGGTGGGCAACCCAGAGGCCACACTATGCTGCATTTTGCGCCAATTCTCAGCTAGCACTTTAGACGAACGGAAACTACTATTATTCTTGGTTATTGCCACCTTTACAAAACATACCATGGTTAAAATCAATAAACCAAAAACACCTAAATCGTCTCCCCCAAAATACACCTATGCCTCTCAAAGTTTTTTTTTTTCTCTAACATTCTTGGTATTCGTACCAATTTATGCAGTGTGATATCATTCTTCTTGGAACAGTCTCCGGACATCCTATCTCTCTATGAAACTAATCTGAATTCTTCAATCACTTCCACTGAATTCTCTGTTACTGGCTATCTTTCTCTCTTTCGGGAGGAATCTAGTATACACATGTATAGTCTTTGTGTCTATGTTCAGGAGCATCTGCTACTGGCAAGGGAACTTTTTCGTGAGTCACCGGATTGTTCTTAAATGTGCCTCGAACATACTTTTTTTACTAAACTCAGTCAGTTATTTGTTCTTAGTCTATCCTTTCCTTCCATTTCATGAAGCGATTTTCCAAGTTTAATTCAGATATGGCACAAGGTCGAAAGTATGGGGCACCCAGTGAGTATCGAACTCACTACTCAGTCGTAATTGTTCTAGTGAGATAAGCTTGTTAATCATTACACCGCCTCGAGGTGCACCTCCCTTCCTTTCATGAATGTTGCGTTCAAGATTGAAGTTCTGATAGCATAAAGTCATTCTCTCTATCTCCCGCTCTCTCTATCTCCCTCTCTCTCTCTCCCTCTTCCTCCCTCTCTCTTCCTCTCTCTCTCTCCCTCTCATCCGTCTGTAAATACCTTTGGATTCGGCGACTTCAGTGTTCACCATATCAGTTGGCTTCATCATTTTAATGTCACTGACCTCGCTGGCATTCAGACCTTGAACTTCTCTATTGTTCAATCTCTCACTCAAGTCGTAGACTTCCTCACGCGTTTCCCCAGTAATTCTGACGGAGACGCTTGTCTATTTGATCTCTTTCTTAAAGGGACATGTTGTGATCAGGAGCTCTATGCTCTTGGTAATTCCGATCATCAGGTGGTGTCTGTAGATGTCTATTTGCGCTCTCCTATTAACAGAATATCTTTCTGTTATCAACGCGTTGATTGGGACCAGTTTCGTACCTTCCTTCGCGATGTCCCTTGGAAGGATATTTTTAGTCATCCATTTACTCCTGTCTTAGTAGCAAATCCGACAAAGTAAACCTGTCCACTGCTCTTGAAATAGACCTCCAATCAGTAGTTAACTGGGACATGAAATGGCTTTTAAATTTTAACCCCTCCAATACAAAACTGCTTTCCTTTAACCACCACAGAGGAACTTTTATGCATGCCATCAGAATGGCTGATGCTAAACTTCAAAAGAGCAAAATTGTACGCTTTCTTGGCCTCACGTTTTCCACTGACGTGAAGTGGAGCAATTATAACGAATCAATTGCTAGGACTGTTGCAAGGAAAGTTGTTAACAACCACAGAGATTCAGTTAACCACTTTTTATTCTTGCCATTGTTATTATTTAACCACCACAGAGATTCAGTTAACCACTTTTTATTCTTGCCATTGTTATTATTTAACCACCACAGAGATTCAGTTAACCACTTTTTATTCTTGCCATTGTTATTGTTTAACCAACAGAGAGGTTCATTTAACCACTTTTTATTCATGCCATTGTTATTGTTTAACCAACAGAGAGGTTCATTTAACCACTTTTTATTCATGCCATTGTTATTGTTTAACCAACAGAGAGGTTCATTTAACCATTTTTATTCATGCCATTGTTATTGTTTAAACACCACAGAGGTTCATTTAACCACCTTTTATGCATGCCATCAGTATGGCTGATGCTAAACTTCAGAAGAGCAATACTGTACGCCTTCTTGGTCTCACGTTTTCCACTGACGTAAAGTGGAGCAACTATATCGAATCAATTGCTACGTCTAATGCAAGGAAAGCCGTTTCACTGTGTTATACCAGACAATTTTTCTCGCCAGAATCGATCTTGCACAATTATAAATCTACCATTTGTTCATGCATTGAATATTTTGCCATATCTAGTCTGGTATTCCTGTTAGAAGGGTCTGTAATGTAATAGATCCTGACCTGGCATCTCGACTTCAGTTACTTCCTCACTGACGAGACGTGGCTTACTCCTGTCTTTTCTACAAATATTTTCATGGCTACTGCTTTTTCCAGGTGTCTCATCTACATAAGCGTGCTACTAGATTGGCAAATAGGTTTCACCATTTTACTATTGACCTAGCTTTATGCAATTGCCACTGCTAATCTAACAGTTTTTTCTTGCAATTCCGACATGTGGAACTTCTTTCCGAATTCTTGCTTCCCTGAGAACTACAATATTCAAAAATTTAAATACAACGTCAATCGCCATCTTATGGCTTTTTTATTCTGTTCCTTTTGTGTCCTTTCCTCAATCCATTATCAGTTTTATCTTTCACTTTCACTTTCACTTCCTATAACCCCCACCGCCTCATTCTAGTGGCATTATCGCCTTGCTTGGGGTGAAACGATAAAAAGAGGCAGGGGGCAACCGGAAGTGAAGGCCAAGAATAATAGTAGCTGCTGGTCGTCTTTGCTGGTTGAGAATTGGCGCAGAATGGAGCAAAGTGTGTCCTCTGGGTTGCCCACTTGCAGGAACACCTTTCTGTTGTGGCCTTGTTAGGGCCAGAAATAAAGACACAGGACAAGAATGAGTTAAACAAATATATTAAGAGAAACAGTAATACAATCATATACAAATGAGTGTATTACAGCAAGAATGTTCGGTCCGATTGTCAGAGCTGACTGCTGGAAACTTCCCTCTCCAAAAGGCAGTACCTGCTCCTATTTATAGCTTAGAGAGTCCATGCGTGCGTGGGTATATTGCCGTAACACTTTCCATGCGCAACATGGCACTGCAAGAACCACGATATGCGACTGATGATCAGAGCAGCTTCTCTCGACGCTACCCAAAAGTTCAGGTTTCTAACTACCAGTCGGGATGCAGTCACCAAAAAACTTCCAATCCGTTACACTCAGTATGAAAATTCGCAGATATTATCCAGTCATATCACTAAAAAATCATAAGAGGCACCCTTATTAAGTGCTTAGAAGAAGGAAACCAGAAACCCCACCCTAAACAGGAAACAAGGGATAAGCCTCTACTCCTGTTCAACAAAACTGGTGAGGAGTGCGAACCGGACGAAAGTACAAAGAACAGGAAATTGCGAAATCAAAGAAATATTTGGAGCCAAGAAAACTCGCTTTCTGAAATAAAATAAAAAGAAGTGAGTGATTTTTAATCATCCAAAAGCAAAACAAATTAAAAAAAAAATGATGGAAGTAAAATGGGGTGGGGGTTAAAAAATAAAACAGAAAGAAAAATGAGAAAACCTCATTCCACAGTTATAAATGTTTCGCTGAGGTGGGCAGGAAAGACGTTTTCTGCTCCAGTCGAACCCCCTGCCTGTCCACGCTGAGGTAAACAGCGTTTAAGCAAAATCCTAAACTTCGTCAACTGTTCTTTATTCTCAGATAAGAGCCTTCGTTCGCTTGTAATATAATGATTCTTTATTTAAAATATCTCTCGGAGTTATCAACAACTAGTCTTGTCTGGCATTTCTTAGAATTCTTTTAATTATGTCCTACCGTATCCAGTTTCAATTCCATACGATGCACCTACCAACCTCTGATATATATATATATATATATATATATATATATATATATGCAAAGTGAACCTTATTATATATATATATATATATATATATATATATATATGCAGTAAGGTTCACGCTACCTGAAATACACTGCCAATCCCCTCGAGATAGGGGGTAATTTATATGGATATGAGGGAAGATAACGGTTGGCTCTAGACTTGAGCAGGTTAAGATGGTAGTCCATATATATATATATATATATATATATATATATATATATATATATATATTGGGATATAAAATCAATGTTACATGTTCGTTTCATTGTCATCATACAGTATTGATTTCGATATTCATACTGTGTATCTGTACAAACTCGCTATCACTGATATTGAGCACTCTAACGGCATAATTATAGAAAAAATGAAACTATATATATATATATATATATATATATATATATATATATATATATATATATAAAAAAATAAACAAATATTAAAATATTTGTTAAGATCGTGTGTAAAGAGATGTTTAATGTTTTAAAAGGATATGAATGTTGACCACGGTTTCGACCACTAAGGTCTCCTTAGGTAGTTTGTTCAGCAAATCAACCAAAATCGGATGTAATGTTGGGAGGGGGAGATGTAGCAAAAAATATCCAAGTTTATCCGGCTTCAAATAACCCCAAGCTGAACTTCTTAACGTGTCTACATTTGGTCTTCATCTCTGACCTCCCGTTTAGTAATTCAATTCTGTCATACGTCTCTATAGCTACTTTCTTTTCTCGGCAAACCTTACACGTATTCCCGATTATTATGTTAGTCTTTAGATTTCTTAATATACTCCATTTAATGTTTGACCTTTTCTTATGCCTCTCCCTAATATATATATATATATATATATATATATATATATATATATATATATATATATATATATATATATATACTGTCCTCATACGTCTCTATAGCTAATTTCTCTTCTTGGCATAGCCTACACCTATTCCGATTATTATGTTAGTCTATAGATTTCTTAATATACTCCATTTAATGTTTTGCCTTTTCTTATGCCTTTCCCTAAAGTTCCAATAGTTGCTTGATAGTTTCGTGTTGTACCTACGTTCCGGGATTCTAAAAGCTGAGGTATGATTATACCACCCCTTCTTGAACTGGACTTCAGTGCAACCGATGGATTATTTGTGCTACTATTTTCACCTTCCAATTCGGCACAATATACGACTCATTCCGAACGGCATAATCCATTTAAAAGACAGTTATCTTTTGTCATGCAATTACATAAGATCATATATTCACATTTCCCGTCATTTTGTAGCTATAAAATTTTTGCTATTCATTCTTTTTATGATGTTGCCTATACTGCTTGTGCAGCTATAACTTAATTTGACCATATTGCGGTTAAATAACTTATACAATTCGGACGTATTAAGTAAGTGCTTATCTAATATATTAGAAAAACAGCTTCCCTATGTTTGTTTTTACTTGTGTGTTGAAAGGTGGGTTGAACCAGATTATGTTCCTCTTTTATTAATATTATCATTTCTCGCATTCGTCTGTTCTTTGAAATGAAGGTTAGCGTTATGACCTTCTTCTCTTAATGCAGATACGTATGTTTGCTTTTTTTCGTTAAATATATCTTCAGTAGAAGAATTTTGTGACAGCCTGCATTGCGCTCCTAACAAGATTTGTTTAATTATATTCGATGGGTGGTTAGACGCTGTATTGATATATCCTAAAAGCGCATTCGATTTCAAAAACGGTGAGATGGTTCCGTTCGACAGGTTTAACTCTGTGTCTAAAAAACTGGTCAACTTTCATGTTGATTTCTACAGTAATATTAAAATTTCAGGTCTTTGAATATTCTATGTAGTTTTTTTTTTTTTTTTTTTTTTCGGATGGAATCACTGCTTCATTTATTTTCCCGTACAACCGTCAGTCCATCATCTCTACATAATCCGTTGTCATTGATGTGGACGATCTTATTTATTTTATTTAATATATATATATATATATATATATATATATATATATATATAAAGATATAGTTTTAAGGTATGCTATACGTTACGAGTAAAAAGTGTTCAAATTCAAGGATAGAGCATATGTAAATGTAAAAATAACAACGACGTTAGAAGACGAATACATTAAATATTTTAGAAGAATTTTAAATATTTTATACACATGTTCCAATGGCAAATATATTTTATTAAATGTGGGATGTTTTGTAACATTTTTATATAATCCCATGTCTCTTCAAAAACTAGGTGTGCTCTGTCGGCTGGAGCTTCAGAATACGCCGCCTGCACCTCTTCAGAGAAGTAAGACTCCCCAATGAGGCGTCCTGGGCATGACGATAGACTACTATAGATCAGAAGGTTTTGAGGGGCGAGGAACCACCTCCTAAATGACTCTGTGAGCACCTCTTAGGGCCCCAAACTGGGCTCAAAACACTATGGAAGGGAAAAATAGGTTTTATTACCAGCAATACATTTTAGAAAAAAATATTACCAGCAATACCTTATATCAACATTGCAATTTTGGGAAAAAAATAAATTATTACCAGCAATACGTTTTTGAAAAAAAACTTATCTGTAATACATTATTGCCAGCAATACATTTTCAAAAAAAAAATATGACTAGCAACACATTTTTTAAAAAAATACTACCAGGAATGAATTTTTCAAAAAAAAAAAAAGATATTATTAGTACTACAAATTTTGAAAAAAATTACCAGAAATAAAAATTTTGTCGGCATTAAATATCCCATTGAGGTTGATATACCGTAAAACATACCAAAACCTAAGCAAACATGACAATCCAAAAATTCGTTTGTATTATCTGTGAATTGCCAAACAAAACAGTCGAGTTGTTTCCAGTTGTCTTCTGCACGGTTTTGGAATCAAAGTTTTTTTTTCTTAGACTAGTTGAAACCTAAGGCTAGAGGCTTGATCGGCCAGATCCTCCGTGGCCGAGTCAGTCTAAAGCACGTCGCAACTTTTTCTTTAATAATGTTTCTCGAATATTTAGGCTTTTTTCAGGAAGTGAAAAAAGTATATTGAATCAATTGGTAAGTTTGCGGCTAATAAAATTAGTTCACTGTGTTGTGCTAGACAATCTTTCTTGCTAGAATCTATCTTACATGTTTATAAGCCTACCATTCGTTCATGCTTTGAATATTGCTATATAGATTGTTGATAAAATCAAAAGAAGAATCTGCAATATCATTGGTCCTGACCTGATATCTCGGCTTCAGGCCATTTCTCACCGCCGTCATGTAAGTTCTCTGTCTTTTCTATAAATACTTGCATGATAATTGTTCTGATGGTACGGAGACAATATATATTTAAGCGCAGTGCTAGATTGGAGGCAACGTCGCATCATTTTACAAGTAGATGCAACCGTAAGTTCTATGCTAATAGTTTCTTCTGTTGCACTTCTTTCTTGTGGAAGACTCTTGTGGCTTCAAAAATGTAATTGCAATGTCAATCGTTATCTTCTGTCTTCTTAATTACTATTCTTTTATTGTCCTCTCTCTTAATAGTAATTTTGTCATATTCTGTAACACACAATAACTTCTAGTTGCTTGCTTTATTGTCTTGATTGGGGTAAAATGCGTATATATATTTATATATATATATATATATATATATATATGTGTGTGTGTGTGTGTGTGTGCGTGTGTGTGTGTGTGTGTGTTTGTGTGTGTGTGAGAAAAGTGTATATAAATATAAATAAATATATATATGTATAATTATTTATATATTATATGCGCGGTACTTATTAGAAAGCGCTCAATATCAGAGATAGAGCTAACATATTTGGTTGGATAGATGTGAGTTTGATGACCCTGGGTGAAACTTTGGGATCGACAATCACTACATACGTATAACCAAATATATAAATATATATATATATATATATATATATATATATATATATATATATATATATATATATATATGATTAAAAGGAGTGTTTTTTAAAAGGTGTATAAATATCTTGTTCTTTATTTATTCTGTCGGATTTAAACAACTTTTCAACTGAGACAAATCATATATATGCATATATATATATATATATATATATATATATGTGTGTGTGTGTGTGTAAAAATTCGAACAAAAGGCAAAAGAAAAAACTTATTTTCACCGACGCATTTCGTCCTCATTCATCCACGCAAATTATTTTGCAACAAGTATTTATAAACAGAAATAAAAATGTTTTTTATTATTATTTATAATTTAATCATTATTTGAATTATTTTAGCTTGAAAGATAAATTTATGTATTATTTATTTTGAATAACAGAAAGTTTTGAATTTCACCGTTTACTTTTAATTTTTCAAAACTTTTATTGCCATAGATGTTGGCTTGGTAGAAAAGGAGATATTTGGAAAAATAGTTCTATATTTTTGTAAGATTCGCTAGCGACACACTCAATAATTTTCCGTCTAAGCAAGTTACTTTCTCTTTTATTAAAAGAGAAAGTATTTTATTCAACAGAAAATTCTAAGTTACTTTCTCTTTTATTATAGGAGTGTGCTTTTCACACGTGCTACCTCTGACATTCTGTCTCTCTCTCTCTCTCTCGCTCTCTCTCGCTCTCTCTTACGATCAGTTGTCGTGACATATAAAACACCATTTTGTCAATGATGATCGGATGGACAGATGAGATAATGAAGTCAAACCTTTCTAATAACAACCTTCGGACCTCTGCACATTGACGGACCACAAGAAATGCAAGAAAACAGAAATAGTTGACTCACATCCTATGTAAACATATATCCACCCTCATACTTTCTAGCTCATTCCACACACACACACAAAAATATAAAGATGCATATATATATATATATATATATATATATATATATATATATATATATATATATATATATATGCTGCCTTATCATGGAGAGAAGAAGAAACCTTAAAACCGGAAATACTGTAACTCTTAATACTTCTAAACAAGGTTTTTATTGTTTTGTGTAAATATAAAACCTATATTTTTTCATATAAAGAGAGGGTGCTGAAAATTTTCTCTGTGTAACCAAGAAACCCTTATGAATAAAAAATTAAATTCCGGTATATGGTCATTTGGTCAAGTTTTGGGAAATGAGTCGAGGTAAAAATTACTCAGTACTTTCACGTATTACGTACAGACGTTTTTGCAGTACATGTATTCTAATTCATTTTCTAACAGTACAGAAAATAGAAGTCTATATTTTTTTGAAAATATAATTTTTAGAGATTATAATATAAGAAATAGAAATTGTTTTTTTCTTATACTTTTAACTGGTTATGTTAAAAAAATAATTTACCCGATTCAGAAAAAAATCTCGAATATATAAAAGGTTCATCCTTTACAAGCCCGAGAGCCACTCGAGGGTTACGTTAAGAGATTATTTGTGCGTATCGGAGTGGAAAAGTTGAACAGACCCTAGTCTTGAACACGTTAAGATTGTAATGATCTGGGAAACATACTGTTGGGAATCGGTTCCATAGGGCAGTGTTTAGTCTGAAAGAAGCTGTTCGAGTGGAACTTACTTCTCCCCAATAGAATACGGAGTGAATATAGGGTGGGGGGTGCTACCATGTAAGTGGCATGGCGTGTTCTTGCCATGAAAGTTGGCGGGACCAGGGGATGTAGTTCGTCCGTGCACTTTCCCTGGACGCAGCGATAGAGCAGAGAGAAGATTGCCACGTCCCGCGTGTTAGGAGAGGGATTGAAGGGTGGAGAATAATTCGTTACCCACAAGGGCTTGGAGACGCTTTTGGATTAGATTAAAGAGTGAGGTCTGGGCAGCTACCGTCCAATATGATACTGAAATAAGCATTAACCATTTACGCATATCGTTCAACCAGTTGGGCATGATCTAAACCAATAATCCTAATACATTAGAATTACAATATTTTTGTTCCCTAACAAAGGATTCTAATCTTTCCTTATGGTGCAAAAATAATATTAGGCTTGGTGCCAGGAGCTGATTACGCCCATGTCCGGCTAGTTGAGCGTCATGTATAAATGAATTAAGTCTTATTAAATTTAGAATTCTGCGATTCGGTTTCAAGGTTAGGTTTTTAGACCTCCGATTTCATGAGTTGGTTCATATGTCAATAAATTACTGTTCAGATCACCATTTAAAACAGAACGAAAGAAATCTAAGGGCAGATTTTTTTTTTTAATTTCTGGGATGAAGAGTTATCATTATTTACATTCGTAGTAATGTTCTCGTCTTTGTTATTATTGGCTTACGGCCATGTTGAAACACTGGTTCCCATGCGATCACTGAAGTTAAGCAACCTCGAGCCTCGTCAGTACCTAGATGGGTAACCGCATGGAAATATCAAATGTTGGATGCGCAGATAGAGTAATGGATAATGCTTCGGAATTTTTAATCCAAGAGACGTTACACTTCCCGTTCGTTTCCATGTTCACTTACACACAAATAGCCTTGGTAATTACATGAATCCAGCTATGGATTAATTGGTAATATATATATATATAAAGATTACTTAACTTTTAAATATCAATTTTTTTGTTGTTTTTCCCGACTTCGAAGTTTCTTGAGCTGTTTTTTGGGAGGTTCTAATTTTAAATTTTTTTTTTTTTTTTTTTTTCAATTTGTTGCGTGTCTTTTTCAATCCGTATTTTTGCTCTGTTTTGTACACGTGCCGTGTTCCTGGATTTAACGTTCTTTCAGAAACACGGACATTTACTAAGAATCTTCGAAGTCGGCGAAAACAAAAACATTAAAGTAATCTTTTCATATAATATTATTAATGCCCTATTTTTTTAATCTTATTCTAATATTGAGCACTATATATAAAAATATATGCAGTTTCTTATATCTTAAATCTTATATATATATATATATATATATATATATATATATATATATATATATATATATATATATATATATAAAAAATTTAAACACTTTATTCCAAATAGTATTTTATTCCATTGGAATGCGTTAAATAGCATTCAATTCATCAGATATACAAATTCAAAAATGAAATTCATTTTGATTTTGAATTTTGTCTGATGAATTGATGTATTTACGATTCCAATGGAAAAAAATTATGACCATGGAATATTAGTGTTTAAACTTTTATATTATATCCTTACTCTGTCCTAGACATTGAGTTCTACCTGGATTCTTCCTCTTGGAATTTTTTTCGGAAAATATACATGTATGGGTATTTATATATTTTTATATGTATGTATATTTTCCACTAATCAAATCTATAAATATATATATATATATATATATATATATATATATATATATATATATATATATATATGTGTGTGTGTGTGTGTGTGTGTGTGTGTGTGTGTGTGTGTGTTTTAAAATTAGGATATAGAAATCCTGACAGACCTTTTTTAAATTTTTGACGAATGGAAACGTTTCATGAAATAAATTTTAGTGAAAATAGATTTGATAATACCTTTTTCAATATTATTTAAACACACACAAATACACATACACACATTTCATTCTTTTCTTTTTCAGATTTGATGAATTTTTCTTGAGTGGGGAAATTCATTATCAAATCTATTTTCAATCAATTACACACACACACACACACACACACACACACACACACACACACATATATATTATAAATTGATTTATTTAAAATATGTTTTTTCGCTAAAAAACCATGTTTCAAAAATGGAAGCTAAAAGCTACGAATTTAATTTTGTAATTAAATTAAAGACATTAGTTCCATTTCATCCTTATATAATATATAAATATATATATATATATATATATATATATATATATATATATATAAATATAAAAAAAAAAAGGTGAACATTGAAGTCAACACTCAGAGGCGACAGGCTGTTTCATGCTGGACGCAATCAGGCGGCCTGACGATTATGTCCAGCATGAAGCAACCTGTTGCCTCTAAGTGTTGACTTCAATGTAAATATATATTATATATATATATATATATATGTGTGTGTGTGTGTGTGTAAAAAAAATATGATATAAAAGATGGCCACTCTTATACAGGGGAACAAAAGATAGACGTCTATTTCTGATCACAAGTTCAGGAAGTAGTGTGAAGCCGACGATAGACGATCCTATCTACTGCTATTGGGAGAGAAAATAAAATAATTAGTGAACAAAATTTCAGTTTTTACTTGGGGAGATTTGCCACAGGGATCCGAATGGAATGAAACTATATAGAATCTTAAGACAATTATATGACAGTGAATGATTGACAATCTCCTCATGCCTTTCAGAAACTAAGCAAAGTATTAAGAGATAGGAAAATTTCATGGAACAAATAAAAGAGTGCTGAAATGCTATGTAATATCTAATTCTTTATATGACAGTGAATGATAGATAATTTTCTCATGCCCTTCAGAAACTAAGCAAAGTACTACGACACAGGAAAATTTCATTAGAAACAAAGAAAAGTTATAAATTATAAATGATAACTCTTTGGCTGATGCCTTAACTGACATGGAATTAACTTGCTTTTAAAAATCAGGCAAAAATTAGATTTGGTGGTTTTTCTTCTATGTGCCGTGTCCCTTCAAGACGTTGTTGATCATGACTCTACACAATTTCCTGTTTTTTTAGTACATATTGAATTTTTATCTCTCCTAGCCATTCATTTACACAAGTTCTGTGCCATTCATTTACACAAGTTCGTTAGATATGTTGTGCTGTTTTCCTGTCCCTCTTGCCTTTTGAGTGTCAAATTTTCCAAGCCCTCTTTTCTCATTATGTACCCGAGAAATTTAAACTCTTTCTTTCTGAGGTTAATTATCCACTGTGTCCACTGTGTTTCCATTTTTATAAAACTTCATCATTTCTCATATGTTCAGTCCATGGTATTCTCAACATCTTTCTGTAGAACCACATTTCTGTTGCTCCAAAGTCTCCTCTTCATCTGTCATGATATTTTTCAGCATTTACTGCCATTTAGGAAAAGTGATATTACATAACAATTCAGTAGTTTTTTTTTTCTTTCTAACTAATTTTTTCTTCTTTCTTAATACCGTGCTTAACTTTTGAAAGACATCTTTCCCTATCCCAATTGCACATTCAGAGTTAGGTGTCGCGCTTCCCGTCCTCTGTTAAGACGCTTCCCAGATATGTGTGTTTTTTAAGGTCAGGAAGACTGACCTTTGTAAATTTTAGAAGTAAGCTGAATTAGCAAAATTTAAAAACTATTTAAAATGAATAATTATTCAGTCTTAGATTTAACTTTATCTTCATTCAAATAAGAACGATGACACCAAATGAACATTTTTTTTTCGGTTGCCAGGCACTTTTAACATTTTTCTATGCCACCTTGTGTGCAATTAATTATTTATGCAGTCCTTTTCCTATTGAAAAAAACGTCGCAACCTTATCGATATTTTATCCTTCTTTCCATGGCTAATGTTCACATGAACTATATTCCTTACTTTCTCCAGTTTACACCTGTACAGCTTGGACCCACCGTGATCCGTACACAGGATCAAACCTTCCTATTACCTTTATATTTCATTGCTAAGCAGGAAGTTCGATTCAGACAATTTCTTTCCAAGGGGATGCTTCCCTGACAGCTACAATCTTAACATCTAGGAGCAACCATTGTCTATCCAAGGGGATGCTTCCCTGACAGCTACAATCTTAACATCTAGGGGCAACCATTGTCTATCCTACATAACTTTATAATCTGCAATTACTTCCTTCTCTGACGTCCATACTGCAAACTCACCCCCGTAACGCTCGAGTGCCTGTTGAGCTCCCACCTGAATAGCTCTTGGGCATTGTATTGGGTGAATATTTAGTCACTTTTCCACATCCGGGACCTGACTTCATTATGTCTTTTCTATAAATATTTTCATATCATTTGCTCTAATGAGCTCTCCTCGCTGGTACCTCGACGGCGTACATTTAAGCGTAAGACTAGATTAGCCTTGATATTTCATTTTTACTGTTGAAATAGCTAGATGTAGCCGTAATTTCTATTTTAATAGTTTCTTTACCCTTACTTATCGCCTGTGAAACTCTTTTCTGGTCTCTTGCTTCCCTTCCACTAACAAATTTCAAAAATTTGAAAAAAAATTTTCTATCTTACATATTTATAAATCTACCATTCGTCTGTGCATTGAATATTGCTACTATATCTGGTGTGGTCCTCCTGATATATATATCTCTAGATTCTCAACAAAATCCGAAGTGTCTTCATTATTATTGGTCCTATTCTAGCAGCTCGACTGTAATCACCTTCTCAGCTCTGTGACATGGATTCCATCTGTTTTTTCTATAAATATTTTCATAGAACTTGAAATAATGACAGCTCCTCAGTACCACACATCTGAGTGGCTCTTCGGTATTGTATTTGTATTAGTGAATATGTAGCCACATTCCCGTAGATGTTATATGACCTCCTGGCTTTTCTATGAATATATTCATAGCAGTTGAAATAATGACAGCTCCTTAGTACGACCCACCTGAGTGGCTCTTGGGTATTGCATTTGTATTGGTGAATATGTAGCCACTTTCCCGTAGATGTTATATGACTTTCTTCTGTCTTTTCTATAAATATTTTTATAGCAGTTGAATTAATGACATCTCCTCAGTACCACAGACGTGAGTGGCTGTTGGATATTGTATTTGTATTGGTGAATATTTAGTCACTTTCCCGTAGATGTGATGTGACCTCCTTCTGTCTTTTCTATAAATATTTTCATAGCAGTTGTTCTAATGAGCTCTCCTCATTGGTATCTCGACCTCATGAATTTAAGCGTTCCACTTGATTAACTACGAGGTCTCATCGTTAAACTGTTGAAATAGATAGCTGCAACCATGCGTTCTATTCTATTTTCATTAATAATTTATTTATTAATCTATTTATTTATTTATTAATAATTACTAGTTTCTTTATCTCACACTTCTCTCCTGTGGAATTCCCTTCCACTTTTTTTTCCTTGCAACCTATGATCATCAAAAACATAAATGCAACTTCAATCGCTTTCTGAAAACCCTTCTTTTGTTGTCCTTTCTCCTCACCAATGTCTTCTCGTTCTCTTTCACTCCCAAAGAAGATTATGTAATGTTATTAGTACTGACCTGGCATCTCAACTTCTGTCATTTTTCCACAGCCATGACGCGACCCTCTTCTTTTATTTCTATAAATATTTTCATAGCAGTTGTTCTAGTGAGCTCCCCTCATTGGTATCTCGACTTTCTGAATTTAAGCACATGACTAGATTGGAAATTAGGTCCCATCGTTTTACTGTTGAAATAGCTAGATGTAGCCGTCTATTCTAATAGTTCCTTTACTGACTCTTCTCGGCCCTGGTCCTCTCCTCCAGTCTCTTGCTTCCCTGCAACTTACAAATTTCAAAAATTTAAATGCAACGCCAATCACCATTTTCTGTTTTCCTGAATCTTGTTATTTTACTGTCCTTTCTCCTCATTAAAGTTTTCTCGTTTTCTTTCACTCCCAGTGAACCCTTGAATCTTAGCGGCATTATCGCCTTGATTGAGGCGAAATAGTTTAAATATTTGAAAATTGATGATACAAATAAAGAAACATTGTTTTTCTCTTCGAGAATCGTAAATTTAAAACCGTTTCTTCATTTTCTTTCTCTTATTTTATTTATTTATTTTATTTTAATTTGCTGAGATTAAATGCAGAGATGCTATGTTGCATCTGCGAATTCCTTTCCTCTTTGCACAAAGAATTTCCCTCATAAGAAGCTGAGAAAGTCTGAGGTGTGTTGTTAACTGGCATCAGCTTTATCCGATGAATATTAATATCGCAAAGAGAGCCTACACAATGCCATCAATCTTTTTGCTTCTTTTTTCTAGCATTAGCAAACGTCACCATCATCTGGACACTATATTTCTTTTTTTTTTCTTCTTCTTCTTCTTCTTCTTGCTTTTTTTCTTCTTTTTCTTCTTCCTTTTCTTTTTGCTCTTTTTTATTTTTCTCCTTCCTTTTCTTTTTGCTCTTTTTTCTCCTTTTTCTTTTTCCTTTTCTTTTTCTTCTTCTTCATTCTTCTTCTTCTTTGTCTTCTCCTTTACTTCCCCTTATATTCCCTTTTCTTATCTTATTCATCTCTTTCTTCTTTCTTTCTTTCTTTCTTTCTCCTTCTCCCTTTCTAAATTCTTATATTTTTTCCCCCTTTGTCTATTTCTTCGTCGTTTTTTTTTCTCCATTTTTCATCCCTTTTAAATTCTTTTTATTCATTTCCCTTCTTTCTTTTTCTTCTTTCTTTTTCTTCGTTTTTTTTAACATTCTTCTAATCCGTCTTTTCCTTCTCATTTTCTTCTATTCTCCCCACTTTAAATATTCCCCTTTTCTTTTTTCAACTTATTTTTGTTTTTTTCTTTTCAAAACTATTTTTTTCTTTTCTTTCGTCTTTTTCTCTCATTCTTCCCCCTTTTCCTTCTTTTTTAAATTATTTTCTTCCTTCGTTTTCTTTGTCTTTTTCTACCCCTTCACATTGTCTTCTTTTTTCTTCTTTTTTTTCCGATTTTTTTCTGTTCTTTCTTCTTTTCAAATAATATTCCTTCCCTCTTCATTACTACTTTTTCTTTCTATTTTTCATCTTTTTCTTCTTTAATTTGCTATATTCTTTTCTTTTTCTTTATTCAGGTTTTCTTGGTTTAAGCTTTCTTTCCTTCTTTCTTTCTTTCTTTCTTTCTTTCTTTTTTTCTTTCTTTACTTGTTTCCCCTTCTGTCTTTTCTTTGACCCTGTATTTTTAAATCCTTTTTTTTATCTCGTTTTCTTTTGCTTCCTATTCTTATTCTTTCTTTGTAACTTTTCTCTCCTTTTATCCTTTCTCTTTAACCCGTCCCACTTCTTTTCTTCACCTAATTATCACTGACCTTACATCTCTTTTCTTCTTCTTCTTCTTCTTCTTCTTCTTCTTCTTTTCTTCTTCTTCTAGCCTCTTCTTTCGTGTTTTCTCTTTATCCTCTTCATCTTTCTCTCTCCTCATTCTCTCTCATCTCTTTATCCTCCTACTCGTCCCTACCTCTCTTCTCTGCCAACTAACTCCTACTCTTTCTGACCGCCGACGCATGTTTGCACACAAACAGACGATCATTATAGAACCACACGACTCGTTCATAAACGTATCATTGTTAGTATTTTTTTGCTTATTATTCATTATTTTTTCCTTTTTCTTTTTACATTTTATCGCAGATTGGTTTAGTTTTTCTCTTTAGCCTTGTGGTGGGGATTGAAATATTTCTATTTAACCTGTTAACACGGCTATCTTAAACAGAATTTAGCCATAAAAATGAAGAGAATTAGAAGGGAAGAAAGATTCTTGATAAAGTGAATCAACAAAATTACGAACAACATCGTTATCAACTAAGCCACAAGTATGAGACACCCAATGAGGATTAATGGGGTTTCTAATCAGCAGTCCCCAGCAATGCACCCGGTTTATTAATCTTTGCCTAATTTGGCACAACGCCACAACCGCGGAGGTGGGGAGGGGATACCTACGCTCGAACTCAATCTCTTAATCACAATCACGGTTCTAGGTACCATATCCCTTCCGGATGTGGGCGATTATGGCTTTCCACAACTGCCTATCCTTTGTATCCCGAAACAATATTCATTATTATTATTATTATTATTATTATTATTGTTATTATTATTATTATTTCCTTTGATTTCTCTTCCGGGTCCCAATCAGAGACCTAAGGTCAAAAATAGCTTCATGACATTTTTCCACGGATCATTTTGATAAAAACATTCAGCACACACACTTTTTACATAAAGTTATTCGTAATGTGTGGGCTGTACTTGTGAGTACAAATTTTTGTATTTCTTTAGGTCATGGTCTACCAGAGATTCCTTCAATGAGTCTATCGGAACATTTTCCAATCAATCCGAGGGCTTCAACTACAATTGGAATTATTGATGTCCTCATGTGTCACATTTTTGACATTTCCACATCAAAATCCTTATATTTTGATTGTTCTTTGAAAAACTTCAAATAAACGTTACAATCAGCAGGAACTGTCATGTCAATATAAGTACATTCTGTTTTTGTGATCTTTGATCACAATTTTGGGGCGATTAGCTTTAATTGTTCTGTCTATGTGTATTGTAAATTTCCACAAAATTCTTACAGATTCTGTCTCTGTAACCTTGTCTGGGTGATGTTCTTACCAGTTCCTTATAGTTGCTTTATTGGCACCGTTCAACCTGACACATAATCGTCAATTGTTTCTGGTGATTTATCATAGAATCTGCATTTCGAGTTAAAACAATTTTTCAGTGTGTGTGCTTGGTAATTTCTAGTTAGCAAGCATCGATCCTGTGCCACAAGAATAAAAAATACGGTTTCAGCTTTTATTATTATTATTATTATTAGTTATTGTTATATACCGTTCCTATGAACACTAATGGTTATGTCCCAATGTTCATAAATACGTTGGAAGTGGGGGTAATATGCTGTCTATCTAGCAGTGGTTTACCTACTTCAAGCCGCTGGCGAGGATTGTATTTTTGTTGATGTTATAAAGATTACAATTTCATTTCTAACCTCCGTTTTGGTTATTCCTCATTCAGTAACCCTTCCTAGGTTACAACATTTGTCTTAACCGTTTTTCTGCCATCTCTGCAAAAACTCGTCATGTGTGTCATTCGATGTTTTCCCGTTTCTCTGTCTTTCAGTATGTCACGTGAGTATCAATTTTTCTGAGTCGTCTTTCCTAATTATGTGCCCCAGAAAGAAACTATTTCCATTGTGCTGATTTTTTTTTCTTTGTTAGCGTTCGTAATGCAATGCTCACCTTAACTTGATAGGGATACTAACTCCACTCGGCACCATAAAAATAAGGTCGAGTGTGTGGAACACCAAGGGAAAATCAGTCTCACTGCAAGAGTTTTAAGTTTTGAGACGTATCGTTTGTTGCCTTTGATCAATGCTTGTTTTAAAAAAAATGACTTCATTTACCGCAAATACGGGAAACTTAGCAATATGTTTGACAGGCAAGATTGCTAAGCATTACGCCATGGTGAGTCTTACACGGTCATTTAAAACACACAAACAATCTTTACACTCCACGTTATAATCTTCCCATACACAGATGAACAATGTCCATCAGAACCCCCACCAACATCCTTCGCAGGTTTTATGCGTCTCAGAGGACCAGTAGCGATTCTACGGGTGTTGGGGGTTGTACAGAAGAGACCAATGCCCCCCCCCCTGAATTTTGGCTGGCCCCTTGGTTGCCCCAACCACCTTTTTAAGTTTTGTAGAGGAAAAAATCAGAGCAGACAAATTACATTGTTCTGCTAGTATTGACATTAGTATTAACCCTTTGATTTTGTTTTGAAGTTAACCTCTTTTGTGGTCCAACAGTTTGAGAGTGGAAAAGAGGGCAAGAACAGATTAGAACTCCATATACTATAAATGAAAAGTTATTCCGTTTAATTTAGTGAAGTAACATACTTATACTAGAACACATTCCTAAGTTGTGTATACGATAGTGGGGTAGTATGAAAATAAAGACGCTGCTTTAATATTTCCCCCTCCTCCGCAGAAAAATCTCAGCCCCCGCAAGTGGCCCCCCTCATTTTTAGAGTTCCAGAATCGCCAGTACCGAGGACATCCCCAAAACCCAAATAATCCACTCATATCTTAACAAATCTGACTTGATTGGCGTCCTCTGAGACCAATCCTCTTCTCTAACGCTTATCATTGCTACTTCCTCACTGCCTATTTCTCCAAATTCTACGAGATCCCCGCACCCGCCCTAATTCTAGAGATTCCTAACTCATTCTCGTGTACGAAACCTCTCTTCCGTTTTTGTCTTTTTCAAAGACCGCCTTCGCGATGACTTCATCTCAGTGTTTTCATTCACAGCAGAATCATTGTTTTTAGATTAACCCCCCCGCGAAAGAAAAACTTTTTCAATGAAGGCCTTAATGCGAAGAATCAGTTGGTGATATTCCTCTCATTACTCTTCTGACTTCTATCACCAACACCGGACTGATCTTTCATTTTATCGATGTCATGTTTTAGTTTTTTTATATGGTGTTAGTTCGGAATGTATATACATATATATATACTTTACAATTGGAATTAAGATATCTTTAGTTAATGACCATTTCACCTACGAATTTTAATTTTTATGGACCATAAATTTTAAAATTCGTTGGATTTTTCAAACCGTTTACGGATTATAAGCAGTTTGAAAAATCCTGCGAATTTTAAAATTAAAATTCGTTGGTGAAAATGGTCATTCACTAAAAGTATCTTAATTCCAAGTGCCAAGAAGATTTGCTCTGTTTATTAAAATTAAACCTTGAGCGCTCTTTTGTGAGTGAGGTTTAACATACTTCGAATTCTATATTGTGTTAATAGGACTCGCCTGGATTATACCAATCGTTTTTTTTATATATATATATATATATATATATATATATATATATATATATATATATATATATATATATATATATATATATATAAAAGGTGATAGGCAAATTGTCGCCATTTTATATTTTTGATTTCACGCATGCATGTTGCTTGTTTTTATTTTGTCGACTGGACAGTATAATAGGTTCAGTTGAGTACCTTCTATCAGAAAAACAGCACCATGACGCAATTCACCCCGCTGTACTGCTTAGAATTCGTTCCAATGCTAGCATTTCAGAGTGTTTGGGTGTCAATCTGAGGAGAGTGAAGAGGATTCGGAAAGAGTTAGATGAGTCTAATGGTGATCGTAATGTTTGGAATGAACATTAGTGATGGCGATGTTATGCCTCCATTCATATTCCCACAGGTCCTCAGGCTCAACACGGAGGCCTACATCAAGTGCCTTGCGGAGGTAGTGCTGCCCTGAGTCAAGATGATGGCCGCTGGTAGACCCGATATCTGGCAACAGAACTTGGCAGCATGCGTCACAAGCAGGGAAACCCACCCATGGCTGTCAGAGAATTCCTGCGACTACATCACTCTTACGTCTGTCCACCTAACTCTCCAGACTGCAACCCCCTTGATTATTATGTGTGGGGCACAGTTGAGCGACAAATCAACAAAACTCCATGTAACACCAAATATGATATGAATGCAGGAATTATGTCAGCGTTCACCAACTTAAACAAGGAGACCGTCCAGAAGAGTTGCCGGAGATTCCGAAGTCGTCTGCAGGCCGTGGTTGAAGCCAATGGTGATTTCATTAAATAAATTTACTCTTTAGTATTTTAAGATATTTTTGTTTAAATTTAATAAATAAGTCTCTTAAAATGAAATGTCAGTGTTATTTTCATTTTGCGTAATTTAGACGACAATTTATTCATTGTACCATATATATATATATATATATATATATATATATATATATATATATATATATATATATATATATAATAATGAATAAAAAGACAAAAGTAAAACTATACTTACTTGTAACGTTCTTTTAGTTTGTTTGTTTTTTTTAAATAAAAAAATTTAGGTAGTCATTTGATAAAAGTCGCCTGAGGAGACCGTAAGGTTGAAACCAAGGTAACGGATTTAACGAACGTCCTGATATTTTTAAAGTTAAATTCTCTACATGTCATATTTATTCTTGTATTTTTTCACGTTTATTTAGCACTTTTTAATACTACTTTTTCCTGGTCTTATTCAACTGTGACCATTAAGCTTTTTATTTAATTTTTCTTGTGTGCGTACAAATGTTTTCTTTTCTAGGCGCAAAGTGTTTCAAAGACAAAACCTACAAATCACACACTCAGTTAAAAAAAAAATTTAATTTAAAAAATAAATAAATAAAATCATCCTTTATAATGACTAAAAGAATAGCCGAAATCGTTCTGATATGCAAAACTTTTGGACAGTTTTTATATAATTTGTGTCCAGAAAAGAAAAACAGGTGTACGAACTCAAAAAAAAAATTAAATAAATAGCTTAACTGCAGTACCTTGTCAGTCGTGTTTAACGAAATACACACACACACATACACACACACACACACACACACACACACACACACGCAATATATATATATATATATATATATATACTCGACTCTCCCGTCGAATTCGACGTATGAGGGTCAAGCAGATCAATTCCTAGGAACCGACACCAGCACAGGATAGTGGTGAAGGTTTTGTGCAGAACCATCCACACCTTTTGAAGAGCCACAAGATCCTCAAACGACCCTCCGCAGGTTTTGAATTCAGAGATGTCCTTCTTCTAAACCAGTAGTAATCCAAGGCTATAGAACCAAGTCTACCCTGCTATTTACCCATAGCTGGAGGGAGAAGAGAATTCATACCTTTCCCAAGGGTATTAACACGTAATGTAATGGATTCGAACTCTCAGCTCTCCGACTCCTCAATCAAGCCGCGATTAACGATTATATAAATATCATATATATATATATATATATATGATATAAATATATATTTATTTCTTTATATATATATATATATATATATATATATATATATATATATATAAAAGAACAAATAAGAAATATTTACTTTGAACTGTTGTCCTCATATTTTATTGTCATGTTCAGGAAGTTTCGGCCGCCATACTCTCCGGCCTTCTTCAGGGAATATATGTTAGAATTTCGAGCCTAACCCTTTGTTTAGTACATAGGAATAGATTGTTCTTGTTCCACGTGTTCATGCCTTTTCGGGATATCTCAGTTTCAGTTAATTCCCTTTCGAAACCGAAATCTTCATGTCGAAATATAAGGACACGTGACCCAGTGCATGAAGGCATTGGTTGAAATAATCCAAAATATGACTTCACCTAAAGATTTGTGAGTTCAATACCTGACCACAAAGGGAGACCAAAAACTTGAGGAATCATTTTACTAAAAGGAAATTTACTGAGATATCCAGAAAAAAAACATGGCACGTGGAATTAGAATAATCTACCCCTGTGAACTAAATAAAGGGTTCGTTCTAAAATTCCAATATAGATCACCTGGAAAAGACCTGATTGTACAACGGCTGAAATGTCGTAAATATGGCAACAAAGATGAAGACAACAGACTGAACGATGTAAATAGTGTAAATAGTTACAATGCCTCATCAAAGAACTATAGACAAAAAAGAAATGTTTATAAATTTATCATGTTTCGCTTCTATTTAATCTGCATCAGTAATTTTTTCAAATGAGAGAATATTTCCGTACATGTGAGTTCTGTGTTCGTTTTCCAATAGTCAGTTAGATCTCACGTGCTTTTTGTCTCGCGTGGTGTTAGTGCGTGCGTGTACATTTGTAGACAAGTGAGCATGTTTGCATCTGTCTGGTTTGTATCCCTCTATTTAATCCCTGACAGTAGCGGGTGGAATTCGGGTAAGGTGTGCCTGTATGTGTGGGTGTGTATCAAATATCGAGTTAGTCTGACGGGAGTTGGTGATGACCGTACGCGTCTTGACTGTTGGTTGGATGTACGTTATTAGTGTTGAGGTAAAATCAATGGTTGATGGAAATATCTTATGTAGAGGGAAATTTGGAGATACCTTGGTGTGTGAGCTTGTATTTCTTTCATAATTCTATTATAGATATTATTATCGCTATTGTTATTATATATGACTTTTGAATGCATCGGGAGATGATTGGTTTGCTGGAGTGAAAGACTTAAGATACATTGTCCGCAGATGTCCGCAGCTTACATTCTTTAAATATGGGTTTTATGAATGTTGACTATATGGATTGTTGATATTAAAAAAATATATATATTATATATATATATAAATATATATATATATATATATATATATATATATATATATATATACCTTTGGGTCTGGAATATTCTATATATTTAAATTTTTTTTGTCTAAGTGAGTAAAATAAGTCTTCGAATCGAATCCTTTATTTAGTACACTTGAGTAGATTGTTCTAATTCCCCATGCCATGCCTCTTCTGGATTACTCAGTTTCAGTTAATTCCTTTTAGTAACTGAAATCTCCAAGTGTTCGTTCCTTCTGCCGAGGCCAAGTATTGAACTCACAACTCTTTCGGTCAATTTGAGTAAATCTTGAACGATAGCTAAAAATGATAAATGGCTTCTAACATCGTCGTATATTTGCGAGGTTTTGTACTATGTGTGTTCTTTTTTAATTTTTTTTTCTTTTTTCCTTCCTTTTTCGTTCTTTTATTGGAACCCCTCTCACTTTATCTTCTACTTCTTTAGTTCTTTCTTTCTTCCTTTCTTTCTTTCTTTCTTTCTTATATATCTTTCTTTCTTTCTGTACTCTTTCTAAAACTTTGTAAAATATAATCTCATCCGTATTCGCATTCATTGTTGCATTTGATTTCCTTTTTACTTTCTCTTCTCTTTCTTTTTGAGTTTTCAGTTTCCTTTTCTTTCTTTCTTTTCGTCTCATTTTCCGTTTTCAATTTACTCTTCTTTCTTTTTGATTTCATTTTTCTCTTTTAATTTCCTTTCTCTTTCTTTCTTCACGTCTTTTCATATTTTGTTTTGAATTTACTTTTCTTCTTTCCTTTCTTTCTTTCTTTCTTTCTTTCTTCATATTTCTCAACTTTTCTTTCATTTTTCGCCTTCAATTTTCTTTTCTCTCTTTCTTTCTTCTCGTCTTTTCTTTTATTTTTCGTTTCCAATTTTCTTTTCTTTCATTTTTCGTCTTCAGTTTCCTTTTTATACTTTCTTTCTTTCTTTCTTTCTTTCTTTCTTCCTTAATATTTCTCATCTTTTCTCTCATTTTTCGCCTTCAATTTCCTTTTTATTCTTTCTTTCTTTCTTTCTTT